GAAGCGTTTATGTTGCTAACTCTGTTTTGCTTTACTGAGTTCCTTCTTTTGCCGTTGTTTGGTTCTGGCGGCGCTACAGATGTTGACAGACGCTTAGAATCGCCGCTAGCAGTCCATGATTATATAGTCAAAGATTGTTACATTTTAGAAAAATTAGAAGCACTAAATTAAATTATGAAAAGGTATTATATATTTGTGAAATATCTAGTAGAAAACAATTATTCTAACCTATTATTAACCTATTATTATTGAATATTTCACAAATACATGATATCTTTTCATAATTTAATTTAGTGCTTCTAATTTTTCTAAAATGTAATAAATCATTGTTTCGTAATATTATTGTTACATATTTTACAAAACTATGTTACCTGATACTGTCAATTTTTATATATATACTATCCGCTATACTACCCTAAGGGCTATCGCACACAAATTGACATAACTGCATATGCATAGCATAAGACCGTATGTACCAATGAGCATCGAGTATTAAGTCGCCATATTGGTGTTCGATGCTTAATATTCGATGCTCATTGGTCCATACGATCTTATGCTATGCATATGCAGTTATGTCAATTTGTGTGCGATAGCCCTAACTTTACTCGATTTATCGGACAGTATTGAGTTGTCATAAATCATGAAAATATTAGATGCTTGTACCTATCATATTTCTCGGCCCTAGTGAAACTAACTCGTACTTACTCCAACTCGAATTATCGTAAAGCCCATGTAACTTCGAGCGGAACTTTTCATTTTTCACTTTTCGCTCTATTGATTTTGCGTGAACTTTTTCATTGTTCACGCAATCAAATAACTCTATACGTGAAAAGCACAAATCACTAAACATGGTTCCAATATGATTTCAATATCGGCCAAATCAGATGTATCCATCGGCTGTAGAACATATAACCTTAAAAACATCGCTATAACCTTAGGACTGTTATGTGTCCTGTATCTCATCACAGCAGTAGCATAATATATTTCGTATTTATCATGTCATTAGATTTTCACGTTTCCGCCAGCACATTTCATGGCTAATGGCTCCTGTATACAGGACGCGGTAATGCTTGCCGCGCGGCGGAAGTCCGCGCGACAGCCAATCAATGCTGCTTTCCGTAATAACCTTCCAGCTCTTACAAAAAATACATATTGATTGGCTGTCGCGCGGACTTCCGCCGCGCGGCAAGCATTACTGTGTGCAGGAGCCATAACAAGTTCACGTGAAAAGTTTTACGTTTCTACGCTTCGCCGAGTTTAGTGATCACGGTTTACGTAAAACTTTTCACGTTTCTGTCCTAGGGGAAAAGTTACATGATCGCTACCATGATACGGGCATTATAGGGACTCTATCCGGAGCCAAATCAGGATGGATGGAATTAATCGCTGCGTGCTGTTGGCTGCTCTGCAACCTAACCTATCAGAGGGGAAGCAGCGGATCTGCGGTCGCACCGTGAATAGTTTTTGGGCACATATATTCGTCTCGAGTATTCGGGTGGTTTTGTCGCGCTCATTGCTGTGCGGGGCATCGAGAACATAGCGAGTAAAAGAGTCTGGTGTTATATTTCCTACAAAGAAGAGCGCAACGTCGACGCCGTTCGTCCGACGTTCGCTGATCACGGAACAAAGCTGGCTACTGCGTTTTCACGAGTTGTCTCTCGGCCGTCACTGCCTGTTATGCGGTGAACGTCGAAAGGTGAGTGCGCTCTTTTCTTTATATTCCGTAATTTTGTTTTGAAATTTTGCATTTTACGACGACTCTACTTTTTCTGACGTTTCGTTACTATAAAAGAAGTTATAGCGCATGAAACATGCGCTTTTCTTACGTTGTCACGATGAAATTTCTATTGGTAAACGAGTCGCGCAGTGTTGCAAATATGCATCAGTTTTAGTGGAACTCATGTAATCTTTGTTGTCGATTTCTCCTACAAATTTTTGTCCATGTGTAAGTTTTACATGTAAATATGTGATAACAATAATAATAAAGTGCATATTTCAACTCAAGTTGCACCGATAATTGCTCAATGATATCAAATTAGAATATCTTGGTATTTGCCTTATCTCACTTTAATATACATTTAGATTACATTATATATATCTTTGCTTGAAATTATGTTACAACTTATAATATGATTTATGAGATGCATGTAACATACGTATGTCTAATCAAATAACTTTATTTACAATGTTGAGTATTAATTTTGTTTTTTTATTTCTATAGAAATTATAATAGTACGTAGTAACAGTGACGCTCACTCGACAAACATATAGAAACAGAATGTCCGGACATAGAAGCAGTGGAGGAGCTGGAAGTCATCATGGAGGTCCTCCGGGCCTAAAGCAGATTGACTTAGATCAAATTTGGGGAGATTTACGTGAAGGCATAGAACAAGTTTATAATAGACAGTGTATGTCAAAGCCAAGATATATAGAACTATACACGTATCCTTTATATTGCAGAGAATATTTCTTTTTTGTTTTCTGTTCTGTATATAATCTAATCCTCACAAGAGATTTCCTTGCTACATTCTAAACTTTCTATAGACATGTATATGATTATTGCACAAGTGTTCATCAACAATTGACCAGGACATCGACCAAGAGTAAGAAAGGGCAAATTTCACAAGGAGGTGCACAATTAGTAGGATTGGAGCTATACAAGCGCCTGCGTGACTTTCTTAGGAATTATCTTATTAGTTTACTTAAAGTAAATATATAAGTGTTATGCTTTGTAAATATAAACAAAAGTGTCTTTAGATAAGATTGTTACAATATAAATAATTTTGTGTATAGCATGGAATTGACTTGATGGATGAAGATGTGCTACAATTTTACACAAGACAGTGGGAAGAATATCAATTTAGTAGTAAAGTGTTAAATGGTGTATGTGCATATCTCAATCGTCATTGGGTGCGCAGAGAATGTGAGGAAGGTCGAAAAGGGATTTATGAAATTTATCAATTAGCCTTGGTTACCTGGCGAGATAATTTATTTAAGCATTTGAACAAACAGGTATGAAAAAAGAATCTTTTTGCAAACACTAATTTGTACTTGATAAGTAAACATGTTTTGCTTCAGGTTACTAGTGCAGTGCTTAAATTAATCGTTCGAGAACGTAATGGAGAAACAATTAATACCCGACTAGTTAGCGGTGTCATCAATTGTTATGTGGAATTGGGTTTAAATGAAGAAGATCCAGGTGCTAAAGGACAAAATCTAACAGTGTATAAAGATTCCTTTGAAAATCAATTCCTTGAAGATACAGAACGTTTCTATTCCAATGAGAGTTTAAATTTTCTCAGACAAAATCCTGTAACAGAATATATGAAAAAAGTATGAGCATTGAACAAACATGTAAGAAATGTTTCTTAGACTATGTATATATATATTTTTTTTCTTTTTTTGTGTAGGCGGAACAGAGGTTATTGGAAGAACAAAAACGAGTTCGTGTTTACCTACATCAGACAACTCATGAACGATTAGCGAAAACATGTGAAAGAGTGCTTATTGAAAAACATCTGGATATATTTCATTCTGAGTTCCAGAATCTTTTGAATGCTGATAAAAATACAGATTTAGGTAGAATGTACCAACTAGTAGCGAGAATACCGAATGGCCTTGGAGAATTGAGAAATCTTTTAGAAACTCATATAGCTAATCAAGGGCTTGCGGCTATAGATAAATGTGGCGACTCTGCTGCTAATGTACATATTTTATTTAATGTAATTACAACTATACGAAACTTCTAATTTGAATATTAACAACTGTTTTTGTATTCAGGATCCAAAAGTTTATGTGAACACAATTTTGGAAGTGCACAAAAAGTATAATGCTTTAGTGCTTGTCGCCTTTAACAACGATAGCGGTTTTGTAGCAGCTCTGGATAAAGCTTGTGGTCGATTTATTAATGCTAATTCAGTTACAAGAGCAGCAAACAGTAGTAGTAAGTCACCTGAATTATTAGCAAAGTACTGTGACTTGTTATTGAAGAAAAGCAGTAAAAATCCAGAAGAAGCAGAACTTGAAGATACTCTCAATCAAGTCGTAAGTACATTTGTAATAAAGTATTTGTTTTTGTTCATGTTTTTCTGCAAAAGATATTTGTTAATTGTATTTATAATCTCATTTGTGTAGATGGTAGTATTTAAATACATCGAAGACAAAGATGTATTTCAGAAGTTCTATAGCAAAATGTTGGCGAAACGATTGGTACAACATATGTCTGCCAGTGATGACGCAGAGGCTTCCATGATCTCTAAGTTAAAACAAGCTTGTGGATTTGAATATACTTCAAAGTTACAACGCATGTTTCAGGTAGCTTTCCATAGTATATTAATTAGAAATTTAATTTCTAAATTAAAATTAATTAGATATTAACTAGAAATGCGAATTTCATGATTTTATCTAATATTTTATTAATGATTACTAACTTTTGTTATTAAAAATTATTCGAAGCATAAGTCAATGTGATTATAGCAGTCTCTTCACAGGATATTGGTGTATCAAAAGATCTAAACGAACAGTTCAGAAGACATTTGGTAAGATCTGCTGAACCATTGGATGTGGATTTCAGTATACAAGTTTTATCTTCTGGTTCATGGCCATTTCAACAATCCTTCACATTTTCTTTGCCGACAGAGGTAAAAAGCATTTGTCAAAACAAACTGATTGATCGATTGAACACTCAGAATTTCAGATGTTTATCAATTGCTCATTCATGATCCTTTATTCTTATCTTACAGCTAGAACGATCTGTACATAGGTTTACTACTTTCTACAGCTCACAACATAGTGGCAGAAAGTTAAATTGGTTATACAATATGTCTAAAGGGGAACTACATACTAACTGTTTTAAGAACAGGTACACATTGCAAGCCTCGACTTTCCAAATGGCAGTTTTGCTACAATATAATGGATCTACATCATGGACAATACAACAACTTCATTATGCAACACAGATAAAAATGGATTTTTTACTACAGGTAATGTAATAGTGAAAGTAGCAAAGTAACAAAAGATTTAAAGTTATGTTTTGCAGGTTATTCAAATACTTTTGAAAGCCAAACTTTTAACTGCAGCTAGCGATGATGTAGCTGAATTGACCCCGCTATCAACGGTAGAACTTTTTACGGGATACAAGAAGTATGTTTCTTTTACATGCATGTAATTAACTGTTATTAACAATTTATCTAATTATGTTATTTGTTTAATAGTAAGAAATTAAGGGTGAATATTAATATACCGATGAAAACGGAATTAAAAGTTGAACAAGAGACTACGCACAAACACATAGAAGAAGACAGAAAACTTTTAATTCAGGCAGCGATCGTTAGAATTATGAAAATGCGGAAAGTATTAAAACATCAACAATTGGTAGCAGAAGTTTTGAATCAATTAAGTTCTAGATTCAAGCCAAGAGTGCATGTTATTAAGGTATTTATTAATTAAATTTTCTTTCTACAAAAGATTATTATTTTCAGGAGCCTTTAACTATAAATATGTGTAAAAATATTGTTTTATATATTATTAATATAATATATATTTAATATAATATATATTTAATATAATATATATTTAATATAATATTAATTCTTTCTTAAAAGGATGGATTCTATTTTTCAGAAATGTATAGATATTTTAATTGAAAAAGAGTATTTGGAGCGCACAGAAGGTCAAAAAGATACTTATAGCTATCTGGCATGATCAGTCGATTTAGGACAACGATACAGCAGCAACCATATATGCATAATAAAGAGAACCTTACATTATCATTGCTACACACGTATCATACTATTTATTTAAGTCTCGAAGTTAATTCTCGTGCTTTTTTTTCTGTACATGGATGCCTTTGTACATTATTGTCCTTCTGGTCGCATTTAAAGTCTGGGGTTATATATGTATATATATATATATATATATATATATATATATATATATATATATACATACACACACTCACACACACACACACACACATATATATATACACACACATACATACACACACATATATATATATATATATACACACACGTGCGTGCGCGCACGCGCATTCACATACATACATATGTATATATATACATATGTGTGTGTGTGTGTATGTGTGCTGTTAGCAAAATTATTTCTCTTAATTATTATGAAATGTTAAGTGTGTTACTATCTGTGCTGTTTTTCATATAAAGTGGAGCTTTTTGTAATGTCGCAGAGTACAGGGTGTAATCAATTAATTAATCAGAGATTTTTTAATTATCTATAGAAAATTATAAAATAATAAAAACATATTTATGCTTTTAATTTGTTGCTGATGTATATTTTCAGTTTTAGAAAATTAGAATGTTAAAGCATTATTTTTCATGAAGTAAAAGATGTGCGAAATAATGGAGAAAATTAAGACCATGTTATGTCTAATGTTACATCAAAAAGATCATTGTAAATTGTAATCAATTATATAAAGAAGTCATAACATGACAATAAGATATATAAGAAAATTTGTAAAAAATTTTGTGAGCGCATAGATAGTAATGCATTTTAGCAAATCTATCTCTCATGACAGACAATTTTAAGACCAGAAAATTTTATGTTAATGAATACAAATCTATCACTGCAATCTAGCAATTTTTTGTTTCCGCATAGAATATAATTTCGTCTCTTAAGTGGTCCTAGACAAAATATTTGTTAGAAAAATATAAGTCAGACATACATTATAATAATTTCCTATTAAAGATCTAAAATACGTTAATATTAATATAAATACATATAACTCACTAATTACGAGATCATTAAAAAAATGCGGAACGTCCTCGAGAGGTAATGATCTCGTTTATATCTTTGAGTTAAAGTAGAGTTTGAAATCAATATGTCGATTAATTTCCAAATTATTAATCACGAATAGAAACTTGTTTAGATTTTTATAAAATTTATTACTGCAGTAGTTTGAAATGTTTGATATTCGAAGTACAATAACAATAATAAATGTCTGTGGCATATATAACTAAAAAAAGCAGACACGAATGGTGCTTAATGAATCTTGCACTCAGTGCCCTCAATAGAAATCGGTGTAGCAAATCCAGTAACTTTAAAGGCTTGAAGATGTACGATTATTTCGAGGTTGTGTTTTAAAATTCAATATGCATAAAAACAAATGCGACTTTAGAAAATTTTAAGTGTGTATGTATGTACACACACACACACACACGCATATATATATATATATGTATGTATGTATGTTCAAATAGTAAAAACATTTTCCCATAGCATATTGTCAATGATAAAAAGGCTGATGAGAAAGAAAAATAAATTGAGAATTACTGTAATTAAATTGTATTACTAAATTGTAATACTTGTCTGTGAGACAAGTGATAACATCACGTATTTAGCTACAGAAAAACACACGAACAAACAAAAACATATTAATGTATTTTATTAAATAAAATGTATTATGAATTCAAATTATAAAACTATTAAACGTAATGTACTCACAAGCTAGGTTGTGCAGAGGGATATTGACTATATCACGCAGTCTTTATCCATATTCTTGTGATATTCATTATTATTTAATATTGCTGTTTGCAAATAAGAAATCTTAATAAATTTCTTTTGCAAATAAGTTTAATCACTTTTGTAAATGTAGACGTGCGATAGTACATCATCTAGGCTAAGGAATTTAGACTAAATTCCCCCTCCTTCCCATTACAGAAATATTTTCTAATCTATATTTACTCTTCAATAAAATTTCATCGACGCTTTTTGACGAGTCCGCATATGTCTTTAAACTCGAAAAATCCATCGCAAGGCATTTTTTATGTCAGATCCATAAGAACAAATAATTAATTTATATACAACGTAAATTAATCTTTTAATTGTGCAGTTATACCTTATGATTTATTTCTTCACAAAACAGGAATTATATAAATAAATTAGACAAAATATTTAAAGTTATTAAAAGTAAAGAAACTTGAATTTGATACAATCACAACGGGAGAAAAATATGCATTTTTACTGATAACTTTAAATTGTAACTTTTTTATAAGTTTGACTCACAGGTCTTCCTATAAACATTGAATAATTGTTTATATCAACATTTCAATGTTGATATAAATAAAGCATTTTTCAAATAAAAATATGATGTCAAATGTATATTCTATAGGGAAAAACTTCGGAATCAACTTATATCTATCGTTATATCCTGTTTGTATGCGAGAAAATAATTGTCGCGTGTACCCCAAATATAAGATTTCTAATGCGACTGCCAGTAATTTTATTTTTTTATAACTGTGTTAAAAAATCTGCAAATTCTATAGTTTATTTGAATAAATACATTTGTTATTTTATATGAAACTGATCAATTGCTGTGATTATGAAGTGAAACATAATGTTGATGTCAAATCATATACAGAAAAGTTTCATGAAATAAACAAATCTATACTGAAAAAGTATAGAATATCTAAATCCAGTGATATGCGTAATTTTAATACATAATGTGTGAAATACATGTACACACACATATATACACACGCATCTAACACGCACCTATATATACATACACATACACACACACACAGGTGCTATATACAAGCTTTCTGCAAAAAGATGTATATCAATTAATATGTGCTGTAATATAATATTGTAAGATATAAATGGCTATGAAATGGAATTAATTTCATCTTTCACAATGTATGAATAGTAACAGTTATTCAATAAATGTTTTATATACATCTCAGAGTTACTAAGGTTTCCACTCCAGTAATTTCGTAAAGTCTGCTCCTGTTAAATGTATTTTCCCACTTGCTATTAAATATATCTGTAAAACAAAATAATTGTAAAAATTAATTATAACATTTTATAGATAAAGAATATATATATATAAAATAATACGTACATTTTGTTGTTTTAAATTATCTATGAGCAGTATTTGTTTTCTAAATGCTTGCACTAATTCCATTTGCTGTTTTTCTAAATTTTGTATGGCTAAATTTTTATCTTCTTGTAATTTTTTAATTTGATTCCTTAATCCCTAAAAAATACACATTTTATATATATATATATATATATATATATATATATATATATATATCCTGATAGCAAAATATCAGCAATATGCCGGCAGACTGACGGCAAATTCGATCAAAGGGTTATAGCAGATTGGCATCAACTGTATACACGTTATACCCACAATCTGCTAGTAGCGCCTGTCAAAATCATTTGACGGCAGACTGATCGCAGAAAATGTACAGATCCTGCCGTGTGCAGACTGACGGCAGATTGGCGGCAGAAACGCAACAGATCCTGCTGTGTGCAGTTTGACGGCAGATTGGTGGCAAAAACGCACCCAGGCAACACAAAATATTTATAAAACACATTTACAAAATATTTATAAAATTTGATTATTTTATAAATACTTACCAAAATATTTTATAAATATTTTTGTGACCTTAGATTCAATAGATCATAAATACTCTCTCTTATCATAAATATTATAAAAATATTTATTAAAATACATTTATATATACTTTTCTCTTTTCCTGAATTTTTCTTAAATTTTTCACTTTATTGTTTCACACGTTACTTAATTTAATTTAAATTGTACTTCGAAAATTTACTTACCATTGCTGAGATTCGAACCTGAGACCTTTGGCTTTTGAGTCGTTTACCTTAGCTACTACACCACTGTCACTTTGATTAAGAGACTCTTCCTTGATGTACTAGAAAGACGAAGATGAAGGACATAAAAATGGCAGGATCTGCTACGTTTTTGCTGCCAATCTGCCGTCAGACTGCACGCGGCATGATTTGGTGCGTTTCTGTTACCAATCTACTGTCAGACTGCATGCGGCATAATTTGGTGCGTTTCTGCCGCCAATTTGTCGTCAGACTGCACACGGCAGGATCTGCTCTGTTTCTGTCATCAATCTGCCGTTAGATTGCTAAATAGGTTCTATTTAAATTCTGCTATCAGTCTGCTATCAAATCTGTTTAACAGATCTTGTCTAAACTGCTGGCATTCTGTTGAAATAATTTTATACAGAGCCCGTAACAATTCTACCTACAAAACCTGCAACAAGCGTTTGGCAAACTGTTTCCAGCAGACTTGGCTATTATGGCTCCTGCACACAGGACGCGGTAATGCTTGCCACGCGGCAGAATTTCGCGCGACAGCTAATCAATATGTTGTTTTTCCGTAAGAGCTCGAAGGTTATTATGGAAAGCAGCATATTGATTGGCTGTCGCGCGAACTTCTGCCGCGCGGCAAGCATTACTGCGTCCTGTGTGCAGGAGCCATTAGGATATAGGTCGTCTGCCAAATCATCGTTCTCAAACTTCGCGAGAGCGTAAAACGAATTGAGGTGGGAAGTACTATACCGCCCTTATAGAAAAGTATCACTGGCTGTAATAAATTGGCCAGTAATAAATAGTAATTTTATTACTTATACGAGTAATAAAATTATTGAACGACAGTAATTATCACTGGCCAAATTATTACTTATCAGTATTACATTTCTATAAGGGCGTTTTACGATAATTTTAAATGCTATAACTTCCGAGATATTAATTTTAGAAAATTTGGTGAAAAAGAGGAGCGCTTGAGTCGCTGGAATCACGTAAGCTCTAGCACGGCTTAAAAGTGATCTAGAGGCCTGTTCTTTGTAACTCTAGATTACTGCTGAACTAGTGTAGTAAGTTAAAGAAAACGTATATTTGTCTCACTTCAATATATTGCACTAGTTCAACAGTAGCTACAAAGAACAGGCCTTAGGATATCCTATGTGTTCCTGTTACGTGTGCGTGCATGTGTGCGCGTACACGTGTGTGTATACATGTGTGTATATCAGTGATGCCATTTGTAAGGCCGGACTCTAACGTGTAGGGGGTATACGCATCAAGTAAACGACCGTGTCATGTGTAAATAGTGGGCGGCACACACACGTACACGACCGGCGTAACGCTGTCGTATATCGTGTGACTCGCACACGATGACACGTCACTCACACACTACTGCCTGTAGATGAGGCACAAGTAGCACGGAGTGGCGGAAGGGGCTAGTGGTATACGATCGTCAGACGGCTGGAGAAGGAATAGTGACGGGCGTCGCGGCGATCTTCCATCCTCTATCGCAACGTAAGAGCGAGAAAGATAGCATTATGAGACGTGGCGGCCAGAAATGCCGTCCTAAAATACGTGTGACGCACACTAATAGCGAATTCGGTAGCTTGCACTAGTGCGCACTGAGTGCGCGCTAAGGCTTGTTTACAGTACATTCTTATAATATTTAAGATCGTGTCTTAAATTCATATTTAAAAACATTTTAGCTAATAAAATGATTCGTACGGATGTTATACATATCATATTACTGGTTAAAAATATTTCAGAATCATTTAAATATATTAACATGCTATGAATGAGCCTCAGTGCGCACTAGTGCAAGCAACCGAATTCGCTATAAGAAAACGCTCGACTTATACTGTCTCGTCTATACGTGAGGAATACGCGATGTCCCGATAATTGTTTCGCTCGCACGAACGTCCATGCATTTTTTATTGTTAGCAAGGAAATTACTGTAATGTAAAAGGAGATTTTGGGGAAGGGTTTTCAGGAAATTGTGTAACATTAAAATTAAAAATACTTTACTTCGACAACCTATACAAGCGCTGTATTGTTGCAGTATTCTATATTGTGATTCAATATTCTATATTAAAATAAACCTAATATTTATTTTTTTTAAAGAGCAGCTATTAAGAAACACTTATCAAAGCCTTTCCCCAAGATCTCCTTTTACATTATAGTAATTTTCTTGCTAACAAGAAAAAATGCATGGACGTTCGAGCGAGCGAAACAGTCGTCGAGACACCGCGTATTGCTCACGTATAGACGAGACTGTAAGTCGAGCGTTTTCTTAGTGTGCGTCACACGTATTTTACGACGGCATTTCTGCCCACGACGTCTTATAGTGCTATCTCTCTCGCTTTTATCTCTGTGATAGAGGATGGAAGATCGCCGCGACTTCCACCCTTTCTAAGCGTCCGACGATCGTATACCGCTAGCCCCATTCGCCGCTCCGTGCTGCTCGTGCCTTACCTACAGGCAGCAGTGTGTGAGTAACGCGTCATCGTGTGCGAGTCACACGGATATACGGACGGCATAAATGCCGGTGCGTGTACACTCAAGGCAAGTATGGTGTCCCTCGGCGGACTCGTATACGGCTGTCAAACAGTGGAAAGCGACAACAGGCATATACGGAAGGAGTACTGTACGTCTTGCGTACAACGTGAGAGAAGCGAAGAAGCAACGTAAGGGAAGTGGTGGGAGACATTCCGATGTTGCATCCTTATCGCACATCGTCCGATCGAAAGAGAAAACATCAGCAGCGTTACCAGTTGTTAGTGGTGTCCTCAATAGATGTCTCACTCACTCAACACTTGAATGCAGAGAATATGAGCGAGACAGCTATAGGGATACGCGCTGTCTCTATAGGTATCTCGCTCGCTCTAATATCCATGTATCATGTTTTCATTTTTTCTCCTTAGCAGAAATGCACGTTGTGCCGATGAATGACATTGAACGACAAAATTTAACTTTTTTGTTGTTGTACGAATGTGAATAGTCATTTTCGATATATTTTTGCCCGCTGAGTACAAATCCTTAATCCAAATGATAGACATATTTCGTCAAAAGGTTGTTAAGATGCGTCCGCATGTAGTATTGAGATATTAAGATCTTTACGAATTAAGATCTTTAAGAATGAATTTTGCCGGCATATGAAAAAAATCATCTGATGCTATAAACATTTCAGTAATATTGCCGCATATTCTGATGTCAATGGTAATGAACAAAAACATTTCACAATTTGATACATCCTACGGAATGGAATAAATTTTTTTCTTCGTAAATTTCATGATAACCATCAGTATAGATATATCAGTATATAACGATAAAGTATAGACTTTTCTTTGCAATTTTAAAAAGAGGCAGATTTTTTTCGCAGAATTTCCACATATCTAAGGGCGCGATCCATTGCACGCTGCAAACGCTTCGAAGTCTAAGCACTCAAAGTTACCTATGCATTTCTTTTAAATCGCTTAAGACCGGGAATACAATAGTAGTAAGATTTAAACATTAAGAAATTAAACAATCCTAGTCGACTTTTACGAGAATAATCGATGAGGTTTGCCAATTTCTCATGATTAAAGCTTATTACACTTATTGTGTTCTCGTGCTAATTGGACATACTGTACTAGGTGGAATAAATTCTTTTCATAAACCTTATGATAAAAATTGTAAAATATCGTTTTTTTTACAAATTAAAAAAAAAAAAACTAATAATGTTATAAGGCTCTTGTAAAAATCAATTTAATTCTAAATATAAACAGTAGGCATGTAAGAGCTGATTTTTCGCTGGTTCGTGTTATGTAGGTTTAATATAAACAAATAATTAATACAAATCTTCTATAAATATCACGTACGTTAGGTCCTCGATTCGGACCTTTTTCAGCGTAGAAAAGGAGTATAGAACAGAATACAATATAAATGTCGCAAATTTTGCGTGAAGCAAAGTAAGAAGTCAATGAAATCAAAAAGCTGTAGACCCCTTTATTATTGGACTGCCTCCATATCTATTACCTTCAAAAGCAAGAAAGTCTCTTCAAGAAAAACTTGCTTTAATTGAAAACTTGTATTAATTGTTTCTTTATCAGGACCTTGAATAAGTTCTCGCTGTTTCCAACATATGGCGTTACTAGAACTGCGTGCGTTTAAGATGGTAACGCATCTATAAGGAAGTACTATAAGCAAGCTTGAAATTCAGTGTATGTCATTTCGCCGAAGTGTAAACAACTTTTTTTTTCATAGTGTTAAATATGTCGAGTTTTGTGCCAAAAAAAAAAGAGTATTTGCGGGGAATTTTACTGCACTACTTTATTCAAAAAAAAATCTGCAGCTGAAGCACACAAAATTCTTGTTGAGACTTACGGCGACCATGCTCTGTCAGAAACAACATGCAGAGATTGGTTTAGACGCTTC